CTGACTTCAGAACGCGCGGTTATCTATGACGTAAACACGATAACTTGTAGCAATGTCACAGCAACCGTGCCAATAAAAAGTAGCGATAATCTAAATGAATGACTTCAATTGTTGTTGATGGGGTTTTGGCCAAGCTAGAAAGAAGACTACTCGTAATCTTGAAGGAAGTTGGTCATAAATGACAATGTTTATAAGATTATTTATTAAAATTATGGAGCTATTATCCCTAATATCATTTTTTGTGTGTTTTAGAGTGGCGTATTATGAGATTTTTTATAATTGTTTTTTTTTTCTAAAATCGTTATTTTTAGAATAACACATTGTTAAAGAAAAACAAATTTTACTCTTTTTAAAACCCAGATTTTTGAAATAATTAGGACAACATAAAGTACCCAATTTTTCCAATATAAGATTTTTGCAGGTAGCCCATGTCACCTACCCCAGACCATTACATGTCACCAGTCTTATACATCCTTGCCTTAGGAAACTATATTAAAAGCGTTATAATACTGCCACAAAATAGCTACAATTAACTAAAATACAACAATCATTCACGCACGTTTACTCAAAAAGCACGATAAAAACATCCCACCGTTATCTACAAATTTATCTCAATGGCATGGGATAAACTCATTTATTATTACCTGAAACTCATTTCTATAAATGTTCCTTCTACCATTATTATATGCAATAGAAATTTCATTTCCATCTCAGTTCGTGTAAACGCACACTTTGAATCTCGCTCAAATCAGAAGAACGGAATATGTCGAGTCTTCGAGACATATATGAGAAAATAGACACAAAAAATAAAACCCATCGAAAAACAAACAAACACCAAAACAGCTCTGTTTTCTTATTATTCGAAAAACATTCTCGAAAAAACATACATTGCCAAAAATCTTCGTACTCAGTAATGAAATAGGCACATCGCGTCGGGAAGCAGCACAAGTTTCGATACACATAGCAAAATTAGTGTAATGCTAGCTGTACGCTCATAATGAGAAATGTTCACCCAGGAGAAAATGCTGTACCCTCCCCTTCCCGGGCCGCTTCTTGGAGTCTAAACGTTGACACCATACTATACCTTGCAATATCACATTATGTTCTTCATTGGGGATTGGCCAATATGAAACCACGATTGTGGCTGGAAGATTTATTGAAACAAAATTGTAAGCTAGACACCGAGAAAAAAATTACATATAAGGTGTTGCAAAGAATTTTTTTGGGCATAATCAAGAATACGTTCACACGACAGCATATGATCAGATAAGACGTCATGACAAACACATTTCTATCCACTATGATTTCTAATGTTTAATTAACCCTTTACTATAGTTTCCGACTACATACACCTCCCTCCCCGATTGTCAAATGCTGTGTCCCCTGCTAGCTTATTAAAACATCTAATTTTTTCTCTTCACGGATGAATTTTGACTTTCAATTCAAAATTGACACATGACGTAATAGGGTTAACGCTATGGCGGCGGAACAATACTGTTTTCCCAAAATAAGTCTGAGTACCCCCTACTTTTCTCATGTTGCATTTAGCCAGAAGTCTCGCACCCAGAACTTATGTTTTTTTTCAATATTATCGAGAATTCGTAGTTTTTTGTTTGTTTGTTTTTTTAATTGCGGTCTTTTTAATAATTAGCCAGTGTGTATATATTATGTACAAGTATTGAACTTGACAAATATAGGAGCAACGGTAATGTGAAAAAAATAAATTTAGAATTGCCAAAAATGTGAACCCATATTTTTTGACAAATTGCACACAGCTTTAGTTGGAGCATAACGCCACGGGGAAAAAACAATAACAACAGACAAACTAGTGTCTTTGGTAATATCTGTAAACAATCAAAGAATCGAGATTTGAACCCAATAATTTTCGCGCAAACATCTACCTAAGCTGCGACATTTTTTATCTATTTATAAATACATTTCTAATCTATTTGGCAATTTTATATCAAATGGAAATAATTGTTCATTGGCTGCATGTCAGAGAGTTATGAATTTGTAAAGTTGCTTACTGACATCCTTATTTTAGTATGACGTCAAATATGACGTCATTTTAGCTCAATTAGCATTCATGGTGCCATACCGTTTTGTTCTAATGATAGAAACCTACTCTTGGTAACATGGGTAGAAATAGCTTGCCAGTATTAAATGTTCAAATTACTATATTACAGTTATTATTTATCGACTGTCACTGGATATCCCAGATACTATCAAGGTTCCACAGCTGACAAAATGTCCACCATGGTTTGATTCATAACCAAAATTTTCTCATAATTGTTCGTTGGCCTCCCAAATTTTTTTTCACACCGGTTTCTTTTTTATTGGCACAACCTTTTGAACAAATTCTGGAGATTTGTATTCACATACTGCTCACATTTGAAAACAGGTGAGTGTAGTCAGGGATCGACCATTAAAACTATGAGAGTAGAGATGCAGAATGTTCAAGATAATGATGTTTTTTGTTGAAACCGTCTCTGTAGTTTTGTCTTTGTAGATTGTTAGGCTACCCTCAAACTAACTTGAAAGAAGTAACTAGGTTAATCGGTCAAGCTCGGCCAATGCAGGGCTTCATTACTAAAATAACGTGAAACTTAGACGTAGATACGATATGGCAAGTATAACCATAGTTTTAGAACCTTCGCACCAAACAATGACAATTTGAAAGTTCGCTTCAAGTATTGGTCACAGGCACTTGATCGCATGCTTTATTGCTGGATATTTGAATCCTTCGATCCTTTACCGGTGAAATCATTCAAGTTTATTGTTTGAAATCTGATACGCTATAACAAAGAGTCCAGTTACAAGGCCCGAGTCCCGAAATAAGGACAAGGTCGCCATGGTTGGTACCAGGTTACCGATATTTGTCAAGGACGGGTTAAATATACGGACAAGGTCATGTTTGACACGTCAAAGTAAT